TCAAAAACTCTTCATTTTCAGAACTAATGCTTTGGAATGGTAGCACTTTGAGATAATGCTTTATATTAAATATTTTGTCATCATGTACCATGGTAATTCATTTGTATTCTTGCAAGTACCATACTATGGTTTTTATAAAATATTATATTACAGCAGCTAAACTTTATGTCATTTCCTTTAATTATCTTCGTCACAATGGCGGCTAACGCTGTGTTACCAAAGTCCTTGCAAAAATACTAGAATGTTACACTGAATGCAACAACATGATATTTGACATGGTCTACGAATATGCATACAGTGTATGTTATATAATACTAGTATACCACATTATCACCATCTGATACCATCACTGTATCACCACAGTACTTATGTTCATGGTGTAAGATTTCATAATCTTATGATCATTCAGCTTAACTAATCTATTTTATGTGGCTCATAACATGTTATTAAAGCATCATGGTATTAGTTTTTTAACCCTGCTGAAAAATAAATCTGCTTGAATACTTCATGCATTCTTTGGCTTTATGAAAGTTTTTTAATGAATAACTGGCCAAACTATATATATATATATATATATATATTGAAGTACTGTGTGGTACTGACATACAATACGGATATTATTCATGCACTAAATCCTAGAAGCATGTACCATATCATGACATTACATGTGTTGGACACGGCACCGAGGCAATACCATGTCATTTTAATGAATTTACCATAGTAATAATTCAATTACCTTGGAGTACACTTGAGAAAAGGACTAAAAACACCATGGCACTACTTTATTTCTTACTATATATTTTTTGGACATGGTACATTATCAGTCAAAAGTTTTTGAACAGTAAGATTTTTAATGTTAGTCTCTTCTGTTCACCAAGCCTGCATTTATTTGATCTGAAGTACAGAAAAAGCAGTAAAACTCTGAAATATTTTTACTATTTAAAATAACTGTTTTCTATGTGAATATCTGTTAAACTGTAATTTATTTCTGTGATGCGCAGCTGTATTTTCAGCATCATTACTCCAGTCTTCAGTGTCACATGATCTTCAGAAATCATAATAATATGCTGATTTGCTGCTCAAGAAACATTTCTGATTATTATTATTAATATTATTATTATGTTGAAAACAGCTGAGTAGAATTTTTTCAGGCTTCTTTGATGAATAGAGAGTTCAGAAGAACAGCATTTATCTGAAATAGAAATATTTTGTAACATTATAAATGTCTTTACCATCACTTTTGATCAATTTAAAGCATCCTTGCTAAATAAAAGTATCAATTTCTAGAATTTCCTTCCACAAAAAATAAATAAAAGTATACTGACTCCAAGCTTCTGAATGGTAGAGTGTATAATGTTACAAAAGCTTTTTATTTCAGATAAATGCTGATCTTTGGAACTTTCTATTCATTAAAGAAACCTGAAATAATTTACTCAACTGTTTTCAACACATAATCTTTTGATCATTCAGCTTAACTAATCTATTTTATGTGGCTCATAACATGTTATTAAAGCATCATGGTATTAGTTTTTTATATAATTTAGCTTTGCCATCACAGGGATAAATTACACATAAATGATCATATTATTATATTATATAAGGTACTGCTACAGCACTGTTCTGCTTACATTTTAATTTTTTTAATGACAGCAGCTGCAGATACACTACTTTCAAAAAAGTCATTAAAAAACAAAAACATAATAATAATAATCAGAAATGTTTCTTGAGCAGCATATTATACTGATTTCTGAAGATCATGTGACACTGAAGACTGGAGTAATGATGCTGAAAATACAGCTGCGCATCACAGAAATAAATTACATTTTAACAGATATTCACATAGAAAACAGTTATTTTAAATAGTAAAAATATTTCAAAATTTTCCTGTACTTTGAATCAAATAAATGCAAGCTTAGTGAGCAGAAAAGACTATAATAATAAAGAAATAATAATAAAAATCGTACTGTTCAAAAACGTTTGACTGTTAGTGCATGATTCAGTCACTATGGTAAATATAAAAGCAAACTGTATTAACGCTGCATTAGAAAAATAATTAAAACACGTCCAAACCTGAAACGTGTCCACCACACGATGCAGGAACTCGATGACAAACAGCGGCGGCACCTCGCTCTGAATGACGGCCACGAAGTAGATGCGCTGGCGGAGCACGTTAATGAGGCAGTGGTGCGGGGTCGGGATCACCGGAGGAACGTTCTCCGGTTCCGTGGCTCGCTCCACAGCCTCGAAAAAATAATCGCAGACGGATCGGCTGACCACGCTCTTCCAGTGCTTCTCCAGAAAGATGTCCCCCGACGCGTTCACCAGGAAGAGGCTGTGGATCATCTTGGCAGCTGGAGACAGAGTAAGAACATGCGAAGCGCACTAGATTATTAACGCAGATCTGAAGCCTACTCGGTCTTGAACAGGAACCTGCATCTTCACGGTAACCGATAGGCCTCGGAGTTCATTCGTTATTCTACATCCCTATCCGGTTACCGGAGAGAAGAATAGCTTTATAAAAGAGCAGCCTGCTCATCTTCATCATCATCATCATCATCCTCTCTCGCGCATCACAGGACTGTCTCGTGACAAGCCACGGATTAAAAGGGTTCATTCCGGTTACCGGAGAGAAGAATAGCTTTATAAAAGAGCAGCCTGCTCATCTTCATCATCATCATCATCATCCTCATCCTCTCTCGCGCATCACAGGACTGTCTCGTGACAAGCCACGGATTAAAAGGGTTCATTCAGTCGCATCTCCACCTTTTCTTTGGGTGCGAACGCTTATATTGTAAATATAAATGAATACTTACAATCTTTTTTTTTTCTTCTGCCACTTCCACAGGATTCTTTAATTAGACGGAACCAGAAATGTCGCTTCCGTCTCCGTTATTTTGTGACAAGAAAATATATGATCGTCACTCGCTCTAACCAATGGCAGGCTACGTCTAGCACGTTGACCCCGCCCACTCCACATATAATTGGTATATAGTGCGGAAGCGAGTGGACTATTATCCTCGAAGTTGATTGGACAGTGGCCAATAAACGTCACTGCACAGCGTTGTTTTATTGGCTCAAGGTAGCTTGTCCTCTGACAATGGAAATTGAGGTTATAAATGCTATAATAAACTGAATTAAATATAGGTCAGCCCATGAAAAAATGCCGTATGTGTGCCTTATCCTCAAGCTGATACCAAATTACACTATTACAAAAAAAATAAAAAATATTTTGGTCCCCACAAAGACGCCTTTTTATCCTGTCCCTATCCAATTTATTTTTTGTTTCCATACATTATATGGAAACAAAAGATTGCATTTGGTGTTTGTTCTCGGTCTATATAGAAAGCTTTGATTTACTATAAGAGATCTAATTCTAGTATTAGACATTTTATTCAAAAGACTTGAAGCTGTGTCCCCAGGTTATGCTACAATATATATATATATATAAATTACATTTTAGGGATTCTCCAATTAAAAACCTGTCCGATACCAATAAGTATTTCCATGGTATGGCAGATAACCAATGATTGACAAAGAAAATTGTATACTATACCGTCAAAATATAAATATAAATATCAAAAACATGCTACAAGTGAGTGAATTTAAGCATCACAGCATTATACAGTACAGTATGAAAGATGAGAAATACATTGAGATCTACTTAAAATTGATCAACAATGTTACTAAATTGTCATTTAATACGAACTTTTAAGTTAATATCTAAAACATGTTCGCAACAATTGTATCCGATAATAAACTATTATTAAACTGGATATCTGTAGAAAAATCAGCACACAACTATGTATTTCTAACACATAAGTGGTACGAGCATGTACAAGGCTATTGTAAACTGTTAAAGCAGCACTATGTAACTTTTTCTGTATATAATGAGCGAGTACATCATGAATTCATCTTCCAAACCGCGTTTTTGTCTTATTCCGAATCACTACGGTACACTTATAAGTACTTATATTCGGACTATTGCATCCTGGTCACCGCTGCGGAGTAACACATACCTGCGTGAATCGCCATAGACATAAACATAGAGAAGTAGTTCCGGTTGGAATGTTCTTCCGCGGGACGTGTGCAGTTCTGTTTATTAACCGCTAGAGCGTCAAAAGTTACATAGTGCTGCTTTAAACATTCAACCCTGTTTGTTTTTAAATGCAAAAGCAAATTTCACAGCATAGTACAATATACATAAACTGCATTGTGCCTTCTGCAGCTCTAACAACAGATTGAGCATCAACTTAAACGTTTATCAAATCTCTAGAAAGTCTTTCCAGTTGAACCGAAGGTAACGCTCAGTTTAAAACAGTCCATGCATTGGCTTTGATAGAGTGGAATTAATTCTAAAAGAGAGAATTAATTTAAAAACACACATTACTTTAGAGATTTCTCAAGAAATACAATAAGTGAAATGGCTCAACATAATTTATTTTTGTTCCATGTTAAAATGTACAGAGTTCTTTGAAAGTACTTGCTAGGAAAAAAAAAAAAAAAAAAAGAGAAAGAAACGAATAAATGGAAATACATACAAGGACGAAACAGAGAGGAGTGGAAGGTGGACGCTTCAGACCATCCCTCTCTTTCGCCGGATACCAGGCTCTCTCTTAGCTTACAGTTCACCATGTACAATTACAAAGTATACGAAAAGGTAAGCAATATAAACAGACAGAAATATACTGAGCTCATTTTTACATGCCTCATAGATGTAAGGAAGTTGTCCTATACACACACAATAACCAAAAAGAAAATAACGCTAAGTGACCTTTAGATATCTCTTTTTTCCTTCTGTTTTAAAATAGCATTAATATACTACACAAAGATAGAAAACTCTAGAGATGAGATGGAATGGAAAGGTTAAAGGCATCTTAAATTCACTAAAAGTGAGTTGTAATTTTTTTTACGTTTTGAATTTCTTAATAATATTACCCCAAGAGTCGAGCTAAAAAATATGCATTTTTTTTTTCCTGAAACAGAAGTGAAAAAAATGACAGTACCAATATCCATGTCAGAATTTCGTTTTTTTTATATATATTTTTTAGAAAAAACATCTTCTCTACAATAAGTCAAAAAGAGTCAGCTTGTCGTAAAAGAAAGCTGCCCAGTCTTGATAAAATTCAGAAAAACAAAAAGCGCACAAATAATACGTGAAACGTCAGGTCTTTGAGAAAGATTCCTCATATTGACAATGAATACTGGAACACGGAGTTGAACACCTCTTGTCCTAAAACAGTAACCATCTCAGGACACCATGCACTTTAACCTTTATCCCGGGTGCGAGTGTTCATTTGTCCGTGTGTGCATTGCAGACACGGATCTACTTATTTGTACAACTCCCTCTCGATGCTAACAGCTAACATCACTACCCCATGATCAGCTGGAGTACGAGGAGCGCTACTTACTTTGAGGTGCCTACTTAACATCACCAGATGAGCACAGTCGCGATGCTAACTGCTCTGCAGACGTGCTCCCGCGTGGTTAACCCCTTTAACGTTACATGGACGCTGCACTTTGTAGTACGAATTTAAAGACCTTCCCACTACTGACTGCTGTGCCCTCTAGTGACATCTGTGGAGTGTTTACGAAACTGTTTCCTGTGATTTCTGTGCTATGAACCAGGTAGTACCAGAATATTTACATTAACTAGTTCCCAAGGACTTCTGTTTAAGTCCAGTCTATGGATGCATGGTCGTTACTATCAGACGTCTGTTGCGTTTGGATATACACGATTCTGTACTGGGAAGACACAGATTTACAGAAACCTGCGATGCCTTGTGCGCCTCGACGAGTGACTATAGAGCTCTGTGTGAGTGAGCGAGCGTGAATCACTTTGTCCACACACATGAAGCATGTGAAGGTCAGACTGAAACACAAGCATTTCAACAGTCGTTGAAAAAAAACGAGAACATATTAAAAAATTAAGTAAATAATAATAATAATACTAATATAATAAAAAAAAGAAAATAGTCCATCTACGATTATTTTGTCTCTTTTTTTTTTAGGTAAGGCTTCCTATGTCAGTTTGAATGATTGTGTGCATGATTCGATGCATGTTCAATAACAGCGTAAATGCATCTTTCTCAGTTTGAAAAGATAGGTCCACTTCCCCTGTAGCTGCTTTGATGCTTCGCCCCTTCGGTCTCGAATTTCGGTGGAAACCAACCCCTGTTGGTCCACACAGGGTCTGTGGGAGCATGACACTTGCCACAATAAAGGTCTATTAGATCATCTCCCCAGCTCAGGGCAATTGGGAAATGAACCTAAAAGGATCAGAGCTTGGCGACAACATATTTAGAAAGGAAAAGAAATCGTCGCAGTCTCTATGTCCTCTTCCTCCACCAAGCTCACTTTATCTCTTTTCGCCCAGACTTTGGAGGGTGGTGGATACAAATGGATAAAGTACAGCGATGCAGTCTGGCGGGGAACGTCTCTCTCTCTGCTCGTTCTCTGCCGCTCATCTGCTCATGTATGGAGACTGCTTGGGGACGCCAGCGTAGCTGTGGTGCGAGGGGCCCGTGTACATCATGTTGCCATGATGATTGGGCTGCATAGGCTGCTGCGGATAAGCCTGGCCTCCCATCATGCCCATTTGCATTTGCATGGGGTACTGGGCTGGCTGGTTCATGTAAGGTGGGTTACTGTGGTACCCGCTGTTCATCATGGGCTGTGGCATTCGGTAGCCTGCAGACATGGCAGCATTGAGCGGATTCATGTTCATGGAGTTGTAAGCGGCAGGGGTTGGCATGAGGTTCGTCATCATGCCACGTTGCACCGCTAAAGTTCGCGGAGAGCCTTGCATGGTCACAGCGCCAGAGCTGCGGCTGTACAATTGCTGCTGGTGCGGGGAGCCTGTAGGAATCTGAGAGGCTTTGGAGCGGATTGAAATGTGGCCTTTGACTGCGGCCATCTGGCCTTGCAAACGCTGCGTGTGCGGAGGAGGCGGCAATCCAATGTTGGCGCCTGTCATGTTGCACTGGATCAAAGGGGAACCGAGATTCATGGAGCCAGAACTCAAATTTGGAGGTGGAGTCATAGTGGGCTGGGCTTGGGGCAAAGGCGGGTGTGGAGAAGAAGCGAGCTGCGCCAAGCCTGGGTTGGATAACGAAACGCTCGTCGCGTATGACGTGACCGCAGCCGAATGCGAATAAGACATTGCATGGGGGTCCATGATGGTGTTGGTTAGCTGCTGGAGTTTGGCTAAACTGAAAGAAGCAGAGTGTTGACTGTAACCGCCGGCGCCGAAGTCTTGTCCCATGCGGTCATACAAACTCCGGCCTCCTCCGGCGCTGCCAGCGCTCTCGGGAATCTCCATGATCATGGGTGTGGAAGCGAAGCCGTTTCCCATACTGCACTGCGAGAGCGATTGCTGTTGAGGAGGAGGCGGTTGAGGAGGAGGCTGCGGTTGAGGGTTTTGCTGCTGCTGTTGTTGTTGAGTCGGTTGTGAGACTTTTTTCTGTTGCTGCTGCTGGCTGGCACTCGGCGGTCTTTCGATGACGCAGCCTTGCGGAGATTTTATTCCGCAACTCGGAGTGCTAGAGGAAGGCGGAGGCGGAGGAGGAGGTTGTGGTACGCCGTTTCCGCCGTTTGGTCCAGGACCAGCTTGCTGGATAAGGCTACAGCTGCCCATGGCGATCTGAGAGCCGACTCCTGTGCTAGAGGACGTGGAGATGAAGGAGCAGCTGCTGCCTTGCGAAGACGACGACGACGAAGGTGTGGTTGAACTTGAGGACGAAGACGAGGAAGACGCTACCGCCGCTGTGGACATGCCACCTCCGTTACTTCCATTCCCTCCTCCGTTGCCGCCCATCGTTGAATCGTAGCTGCTCGGATTGTCGTAGTTTTCCGTAGTGCTTTCAATGCTGCCCAAATCACTAAATCCACTGTCTACCACTTGTTGGGAATGGTCGGAAACAGATGGCACGTCCATCATAGGAGAGGTCTCTAGGTTTTGCAATGAGGGAGCGGATAGAGAGCTGGGATGCTCTGGGGTTATTTGGGTATACGCTCCACTTGCTCCCCCTCCAGTTGCTGTAGGACCAGGCACTCCCGATCCGGGATCCATAGGACCAGGAGTCACCCCAGGGCTGCTGACTGAACGGACAGACTGGTTTGGTAACGTAGGCATGGGTGGGTTAGGTATGGGACTGTGCTGGGAGGCTCCGCAATCCTCCACCAGAGCTAGCGTTTCCTCCTCACCCTCACCGTGACTGTAGCTCTGCAGAGTTCGGCAGGCAGCTAGCGTCTCTTCACAATCCTGGTAAGCTCCGTGGGACTCTGCATCCTCCTCTTGGGCCTCGCCTTGCGTGAGAGACTGTACAGCTTGCACGGTTTCCAGATCCAGCTCGCTGCTGTGGTGATGTGCATGTTGCTGGTGACTCAAGTCATCTTTGAAGTCGGGATGCTGGTGTGAATGCTCAGCCTCCATCATGAGCGCGGTCTTATCCTCATCGTGTAACGGATGCATTTCCAGCGGCTCAGAAGGCACCGCGATTGCGGTTACAGTCTCTACAGCCGCCGCGGCCGCCGCAGATTCCTCCTGCTCTCGTCGACGGCGTTCATCCGTATCAGCAGAGCTCGTCTTCACCTCCTGTACTTCCTCTGCATCCTCCTCCTCGCCTTCAACTTCTTCCTGTTTGCTGACGTAATCCCTTGCCACGTTTGTCTGCATGTCTAAAAAACCCTCACTGCTCTGGGGTTCTTCTTTCACGGGGGGAGAGCGAGCAGGTGATGATGGTTCCTCTTCGTGTTCTTGCTCCTCAACATCATCCTCAGAGTCTTGGCCCTTTCTTCTTTTACTGCTACTGCAGCTGTCACTTTTCTCTTCGAGACGACCATCCCCTTCGTCGTCAGCGTCGTGATCGTCGCTGCGCCGGCTTCCTGAGCCTGGTGTTGCTGCTGGTCTCCGATTAACCCCGTTATCGCAATCTCCATCATCCCGCTCTTCATCTTCCTCTGCATCAGCTCTCGGCTGAGAAACTCTGGTGCTGGAAGACTGCGACATGGTACGAGAAGGAGGACGGCTGATCTTCTCAACTGACCATGGTTGGTCTTCCTCTTCCTCATCTTCGTCTTCTGGCTCAGACACAGGAGGAGGTTTGGGTACAGGGGGAGGGAGGTTGCCATTTTTTGGAGGCCGACCTCGCCTTTTGGGTTTGGATGGCTCTCTGAAGTCCTGAAGGAAATCGTCCTCCTCTTCCGAGTCTTTCTGTTTCTCAGGGCTTAAGGCGCTGGCTGTCCTTTTACAGGTTTTGTCCTCCAGTGTTGAATTGTCTAGCTGCTCCTGAGCTAATTGGCTTCGCTCAAACTCCTGTCTGGATGCTTCCTCTTGTGCACGCTGCAGGTAATAGCTGCGAGGTTTCCGGCCAGGCTTCATTTTGATCTTTGGAGGTGGTGGGTCCTCTGAGGATGGATCTGCTAGACTGGTGTCAGCTGTCTGACCGGCTCCACTACCAGGCTTTCTGCCTGGACGCTTCTTCCAGTGGAGTGGCTTGCGACTCTTGCCCTTAGGCCAGCCTTTCTTTCTTTTTACTGGAACCTCAGGCATCTCAGCTGTTGCCCCTGTTCTCTGTGTGGCCTCTGAAGGTTCAGGTTTTCTCAGGACAGCAACTGGCTTCAGCACAGGAGTGGGATCTGAACAGAAGAAAAGCAATTTTTGAAATCACACTACTGCAGCAAACATCGCACAAAACTTTCAAGATTGCACATATAAAACCACAGCAGGCATCCTTAGGTGTTAGGGGTGGGGGGTGGGGGGAATCGATTCACATATGTATCGCAATTCAGTCTTCTAGCGATTTGCATTGATTCACAAACTTCAAAAATCGATTTTCTAGTTAGTATAATAACAACAACAACAACAACATGGTGTTTTCTTCACTTGTTGGATGCGTCAACATCACATTTTGGTTGATGTTGGTTGACTGCAAAATTCAAATATTAAATGGAATGATAAAATAACGTTATTAACCGGTTAATGGCCATTTCAAATTTTCGATTCTGTTCGGAACTATTAAATTTGATTTTGTCTCTGTTCCTGTCAAAATTTCGTTCGTTTCCGGGTTTTTGTTTTCGTTCCTTGACAAAAGCCCTGCTTACCACCTAAACAGAGTAAGGAGAGATGACTGAGGACGATGGCGAATGATTTGCAGATCCTGAGCATCTAATCTTGTTAAATGTGTGGTAAGTACTGCCGCTCTGTAGTATACACAGAGTATGTGTGATGGCGAATCTCGAACGTGAAAGTAAAAAGCTAGCGCACATTCAAAAGTGATGTCAATGCCTCGCATATTAATAACGGCACCCTGATGCCCGCAATTTATATACAGTATAATTACCCAACGAAATAATTGCGAGAGAAAGCATTGACATTTTTTTCCTCCCATCTCGTATTTATTCTCTTTAGGGGTTTCATAGCACACGTCATTTCCTTTACGAACACGGTATTCGGATTCGGGCACATTCCTAATGGGAAGTGTAAAATATTTTTTATTTATTAGGAAGTTAATAGGAAACACTGATTTCTTGAATCAGGACAACCCATACTATAGACTGGTGTGTTTTTGTATTAAAATCTTGTGCGTTGACGTCCAGTATGCACCAAAAACTTAATCAAAAATCGTGATTAAAAAGTGAAAAATCGAATCATGACCCCAAGAATCAATATGAATCGAATTCCTTTTAGGTGTTAGAAGATCCTATTAGCTGTACTAACCGTCTTCCTCTGATTCAGTCAGATTGCCTCTGTTGATGCTTTTTGGAGCAGGTCCCATGTGTTTGCGGGCTGCTGCGTAGCGTCGGAGAGGGTTGACAAACGGAGTTTCTTCTTCTAGTCTGGGCATGGGTCTTTCAGAATCTGAATCAACAAATGGCTCATCCAGAACTTCAGTTGTCTCCGAGATGGTCTCTGTAACGACGCTGCTGTGGGGATGGCTGCGCTGATGCACACGCCTCTTCCGCAAGGACTTCTGAGACTACAAGGGGAGAAAAGCAAAGAAAGTTCTAGAATAAGCAAACATTTTTATTTCCGGGTTTTTCTAGCCTCTTAGAAAAAGCCTACTAGGCATGTAACGTTATAAAAATTTCACGATACGATATGAAGTCCATGGTACAACATTTATTGCAAAAAAAAAAAGACAAATGAAGACTTGGAAAAAAAATAAAAACATTTTAAAGTGAAATTATTCTATCTAATGCACTTTGAGAGTTAAAAATTAATTGCTCCAACTAGTGCTGGGCAGTAGGGATGCTCCGATTGATCGGCTACCGATCACTATTGGCCAATAATCGCTTTGGGATGATTGATCGGCGGTCTCTAAAAAGGCCGATCTCAAGCTGATGACGCTGCCGTGAGAGGTTTGGCACGACATGCAGCGGCACGTCTCAGTCTCTGTCCAGCGGGGGTGAAATAATTATAATACTCACCTTCATATTTCTTAATTAAATAACTTATAAAATAATTTGAAAACCTTGTGTGAGGCGTAAATTTCACAAAACGCGTGAGTGAATCACCGCGCGCGCTCTCTCTCAAAATACACAAATGTCTTCAAAACACCACATCGCGTCTGCACTATTTAGCGAGCTGCACGCTGCACAGTTAACACAGGAATTGTCACTTGCCCAATCGAGGCAGTGTCACATCGTCACTAAAGTTTATAAATTGCATTACTTTTTAATTCTTGCCAGTGTTTAACCATTCAGCGCTCGCGCGCTCTCCTGGAGAACGTGCGCTCGTGCACACTCGCAGCACACACACATAACGGCAGGTTCACATTACT